GGGTTGCTTTTTTCTGTGTGTTTGTAGGGTTTTCTTTTCTCACTTTACTTGGAAACAAATAAATAAAAATGGAAGTAGATATTCGCTCTAAATCTAGAAAGCTATAATGCTCTAAGCAGCCGAGTCTCCGAATGTAACAGTGTAACATACCGCTCCAATAAGACGAAGACAAAGGGGAGGACACAGAACAAGTTTTTAAAGAAAGTCGCATTGAACCTCAAACATTAACTGTAGGCCTATAATTAACAATAATACAACAGAAGCCCCCCCCCCCCCTTTCAAAACGAATGAATGAATGAATGAATGAATGAATGAATGAATGAATGAATGAATGAATGAATGAATGAATGAATGAATGAATGAATGAATGATGAAAGAATGAATGAATGAATGAATGAATGAACGAACGAATGAACGAACGAACGAACAAACGAAAGAACGAAAGAACGAACGAATGAACGAAAGAACAAACGAATCAATGCATAAGTGAATGAATGAATGAATGAATGAACAATCCCCCGCCTGCAACGACTTGTGCAAATTCCGGGTGTAGTGCCAGGAGACGTCACGGTCTGACAGAGCCTATATCTCTTCTAGTCTCGCTCGTCTCTGCTGCATTTCCGTCTATCCACTTACTTTTTTTTTCCTACTTGACACCATGCACAGATATCTCCTCATCCTTACATTTTTTTGTCTCACCCAATCAAAGTATCAAATAAAAAGAACGTCTCCCTAAATGCGCCCTTTTCACTCGTAGAATAAGTTACAGGAGAATGGCAACTGACACAAAATATTAGTATAGATAGACAAACTTCAGTGAGCAATCCATTCACATTGACAAAACAAAAACAAAAACCAAACAAAAACAAAACAAGACAAAAGCTAGCAATCGGAGGGAGACAAAATCCACCAGTCATGCAAATCTCGTCATTTGATAGTTAGGACTTTTACAATGATTTTGGATGTTTGCTTTTTTTTTTTCTTTCTCAAATCTCACCTGTATAACGTTGAACTGGTTCATGCGTTTCTTGGAGCGACATCTCTGTGCCGCTCGTCTGTTCTGTTCCCTCCTTCTCTCCTTCTTCTCCAACTCCGAGGAAGACAACTGAAAGACAGAACGTCATCATTAGATATACGGAGGTATTTGAGGGTTTGAAAGTGACTTGAGAGAGATTTGGCGGGTAATGAGGGGGGG